GGTACTGAGTGGATACTTTGGTCTGGCTGCAACACCATAGACAGATAACCATTTACCAGTAGTTAATGTCTGGTGTATTTAAAAGTGAAGGTACGTTTTCCATGATGCTCAAGGTATTCACAGATACTTTTTGACAAAAATACCTAAAATAAAGGTACATTAATATAGTGAAGGGCAACTGCACGTTTCTTGATGGCATGGATATCAAGGCTTTTATTTAAGCACTATTCAGGAAGGGAAATCGTTGGGGTTTTTTTAGTATACTGCAATTTAATGAGTGTAAATACACCTTTAGCTTCTGAAATTTAAGCAAGGCCTCTAGAAGATTAACTATAGCCTAAGGCTTCACTGAAATTATATGTCCATTGTATACACCAGTGAAGTAGGATTGCAACTATGTGATTTTCAACAGAACTGACTGTTGATATGATTTGGGTCTCCTTTACAGTATCAGAAATATAATAAAGCATTACTACATGAAAGTTTACTAGTGAATATACATATATTGCATATACGCAAAGAGAGATATTTCATCTCAAAATGTATTTTGAAAATATTCCAGATTTTTCATATGATTTAACGTAGCTATTTCAGTTCTGCAAAAAAATACCTTATTAGCTAGTTACCAATGCCTGCATATAAGCTCCAAGACTCATTCTCTTCTGCAAACGCAAACTCTAGTCTGCTTTTAAACAAAATTCTCTGCACTGATTCCCTTGATCTAGGGACCTTCTGTGAAACAATGCTACTGTCAATAAGAACAGAAACCAGTCAATCGTAGCCAGAACTGAACATGCAAGATGGGATTTTTGCTTCTCTGCAGAACAGGTAGCTGAACTTATTGCTTATCAGAATGGAAATCTTCCTGGGAAGCCTGTGTTAAGTGAAGCAAATCCAGCAAGACTCAAAAGGTGAAGCGTGTTGCTGCTTAGCAGCAAATTCTATAAAACCTACACGTCAGCTGGTCCCCACTAACAGCTTCAGCTCACGTATGCCATGGCTGTACTTTCCAAAACAGCTTTTGCTGACTCCTATTCAAGCGTCCTTTCAGACACTGTTATGCCAACAAATTGTTGAGTTCAACATAAGTGCAGGTATTCTCACCTTTCTTTTTTCTCCCAGCCTCTCCACGTTCCAACATCCATTAAAAGAAACTACAGGAAAAACTTTTATGAGATTATCTCAGAACTTCGTTTTCGTTCATGTTATAGAGGCTGAATTTCTGCATGCTTCAGCTGAACAGTGAAAGGTAATTTATCAGCTGCTTTCAATCTGGAAGCTAATGGAATCAGTTCTTCTGGTCAAGAAGGTTAACTAAGCTCTTCTATACTATTCCCCTCTTCCTATATAGGAAGATTTTAAACCTTTTAATTTTGAGTGAACAAGGTGGGAAAATAATTTTACACAGAAAATTAGTTTTGTAAGCAGATTTACATTTTCAGCACCATCTGCTCTCTTATATGACCTATTGCTTTAAAGTAAGGGACTGAAATATTTCTTAGGACTGCACTGCTACCGTGACATTCTGAAATTTGTGATAATCTACTTGCATGCAAGTTGGTTTATTCAATGTCCATACAACGTTTAGCCAGTTTTCCCAAAGCAAATCGCAAACATTTTCTAACTTAAGTTCAACTTTAATTTTTTTTAATTAAAAGTGAAATCGCATTTAGCTGAACTCATCTTTCAGTAAAACATGAAATCTGAAGTCATTTGTTAGGAAGACAACAATGTCCAAACATATTTGAAAGCTTGAACAACTTCACAGGTGAAGCAGACAGAAAAGTAAAAATTATAGTACAAAATCATTAAGAATTTGTGCCTGTTGAACTTGAGGTAAGTTACTACATCACAGAAAAATGAACATATAAATTGAATATAATTAATGAAATTAAATTTAAGTTGAATGCTTTCAATTATATACATGAAATTTCATTTCCTTACTTTTTTAGAATACCACAAGAAAAAGACAAACAGGAAAGAATAGAAAGGACGATCATCACAGTGCTAAAAATCAGTCTGATGCAATTCAAAACAGGAACTAAACAAATAAGTAAACTTTTATTATTAACTAGACCAAGCCTGCTAGGGAAAACCTTACTTATTTAAATAGTCATGCTTCTTCGAGGACCAAAATCCCATCACTAAAGCCATGAGGGAGATTTATCTTCATCTGCCTTTCCCCCCTCGCTGCCCCTGAAAGACGGCAGCAAATCCCATTCATGGTGCCATATCAGTAGAAGTACTGGCACTTTACATTGGAAGAGAACTTTGCAGCAAAAGGAAAAAGGAAGAGCAAAGAAGGGAAAAGGGGTCTTACTGCATCCCAGCAGGACTTACACTGCAGCATCGCCAGCCGTTACTCTGACTTCTGCACAACACAGAGTGCCAGCTGACTGCCCAGGCAGGTGGCATAGCCAACAGATAACAATTCTTCTCTCAGCCAGAAAAAAAATTATTTATTTATTATTTCTAAATGAAGTAAAATATCTTGTGGCAATGAAAATTCTAACAAAAACATCATCAGCAGTATGGTAATGACATTTTTCATATACTGAGCATTTAAAAAGCAACAACCTAAGGCCAAGTTATCCCTCTCCCCTGAATCCTTACAGTAACAGCGTAGTAGAAGTGACTTTAAGAGAAGAGTGCCTGCTAGCCTGTACCATCTGTGAACCTCCCTTAAATACTTTTTCTTTAGAAATTAAAATAAAAGCATAGGTAGAGATTTTGCTTCTTCTATCAACCTTTATTCTGAAAATACAAAAGCAAAAAGTATTGGCTTCTTGCTGAAATACTATAGCTACACTACAAACATACTGAGAATTATTTAGATAATCTTCCAGGCAAGTCATATGAACTTATGGATTTGTAAAACACTCTCCATATTATTGAGTAGGTTGGTAATGATATCTGAACGAATTGATACGAACTTCTTTGACCACATCACAAAGACTGATTTGCTAGTATTCCTCAATTCAGTTCTCACACATTGAGCATCTACTAGCCCCACTCTGATTTTGGTAATTATATGGTGTTGAGCAACCAGAAGAAGAGAAGGAACTGCAGGGAAATAAGCACTTCCAAATTAATCATCTTTCCCAGGCACTGAATTTCAATTAAAAAAAAAATAAATTACTGAAGCACAGAACAGAAAAATACAGAAGTATCTTTCAGCCAGAAGTATCAGCAGCCAGAAGACATTTCTGATGATCTCTTTTTTTTCTTTTTTTTTTTTTACCATAGAAATAGTATCTCTAGGTGCAATTTCCACAGATCCTGAACTCTGGCTTTGTTCTACTTCCATGAACCCAAGCAGAATATTTATTAAGTTCAGAGCTGCCAAAGCACACTGCAAAATCCTACTGAAAAATCATTTTATTGTTAAACAAAAAAATTAAGTTAGCACAAAAATTATCAATCATTGAATTGTAAATAATCCTTCAGGAGATCTACATTATATCATCCTCTCAAATCACTAAAAAGTTCTGACTTCCAAAAGCAATTCTTGGACTGGTATCAAAATTGGCTTGTTGATTGAACTATGCATACATGAAAGCAAAATTAGGACAAAAAGGATTTTGTGAAAACCAGCATTAGAGAAAACATTTTTCACATCCATTTAACACAAACTTGTCACAAGAGCATAATTGCAAACAAAAATGTAATTTACCTATAACTACATCATGGCCATCAACCAGGCCTGCAGAGAACAGCTCCTGAGAAACGCCATCTGCTGTGTCTGTCCAAAAGGTGAAATGAATAAGTATGAGAGCCCACAAAAACAACAAAAAGTATCAGTCATCCAATGCAATTTAACAAAAATATATTTTTGTTCCAAAACACCCATGGAGGCAGGCTTGAATTCAAAATTATCTTTAATTAGGAGGAAAAAAGATAATTATGTTATCAGCCTCTGCACAGCAAATCACACGAGGTGATGATTTCATTCATTGCAAACCCCCTACAGGCCTTTCCTGGCCACTAGCATTTCTTCTCTATTATCTAACTACATTCTCCTACACAGTTTACAAGTTCAGTATCTTCACAACCAAGAAGATAAACTATGTTTTGGTGTGGTTTTCACAGTTTTCTTTATCCTCTCCGTTGTTCTGCATATCTAGCTAGACACAGATCGGCCTTCTTGTTTGTTACCGGTGGGGCAAAGGAGTTACATGAACAGTCATTATTTTGAGCTTTAGGCTTAAAATTGCTTTTAAGTACTCTGACCGAGCAAATTCAGAGATTTGGATCAATTTTGCATCAATTGCTGCACCTGAGTGGGTTAATTCCTAAGTCTCTGTGACTAGTACTTGCTCCTAGATAAAGACTTTAGAAGGCTTAGAGGTGAGTAGGAGGAAACAGCAGGAACAAGCCTAAATTCCAGCTAAATCTCAACTGTAATATGGCTTCAACGCCAAATATCTGCATGGATGCATGCTTTGAGGCAGTTACATAGTTGTATCATTTCCTTAAGAAACACACACAGGTGAAAAACAATATAGCTGACTTAGCTGCAGTTTCTGGAGACCTGTGAAGATGAGAATCATAGCCGCCTTCTGGCTGCCTCCATGACCGACTACTAGGAACAGTCCCAGTGTACTTTACTATGTCGTATCCTCTATTTTTGACCAAGTAAGAATTCTCGAATGGCTTATATAACTGCTTAGAGCGTACTTAAGAAATTCTTTGGACAAGTGACTAAACCAGGATGCTCTGTGCCCAGTTAAGTAAGAGATCTCTTTCTCTTTCACTATCACCCATTGCCAAAATCAATGAGAAATGCAGGTAGACAACAGAGAGTATATCCATGCACAGAACTACTGCACATGAAAGATACTATGATTTACAGGAAGAGAGACCTCTTCCAATCTGGACTCATTTTTAGGTGGAAGCTCTTTGAAGGCTATTCTAAATACAGCGAATACTGACTTCTGAGAAATATGAAATGTGTTCATAGTTCAAAGGGTTGCTATGTAACAAGGATACATTCCTACTGAATATATCAGCCTCCTGTGCATTTTATCCCAGTAATACTTGGTTTTCTTCAAACAAAAGTAAATTTTACGAGTTCTTACAACTTGTAGCACTGGAAAGCCAATACAGTCCTACAAGCATGCAGTAGAGTCTAAAGTTTCAATGCCAGAATTTCTTTCTGGTGATAGTATTGAATCCAGAGATGCAACTCAACTTTCAGATGAACACAGCATTTGAAAAATGGTGTGCACTTCATACTTGTTATCAGACCTTCTTTTATTACAAAGGGCAAAGAAACTCAAATATTATCACCATCACCACATATAGCTTTATGGCTACCACATTCCATTTCCTATGATGTTTTCCAAATGTGAAAATGGAAATTCCAAATCCATAAATATTGCTATGCAAGATCTTATATACCACATACATCATTTCCACAAGACATGAAATTGATAAAGTATACTGTGGATCAAGTCTTCTAATATATAGTACACATCATGCAAACTTGCCACTAGAATTTACATACATCTGCTATTCTTGTTCAAGTGAAGTTCAATATAAAGTCCTACTATAAAGTAGGAAACATTCCAGAGAGGTAATTTGTATTAACTATAGGCAGTGATCAATTTCTGAAATACCTTTTTAAGCAATAAAGGCATAATTCAATTGAAAGAGCCTTACCTCTACCTGGAGTAAACTCAAATCGTATGTCATTAAGTTCTTTCCTGGAGTTCCTGAAAAACATTCAGCGTATACATTAAAATGTAATGAAGAATAGAATAGAACAACTACTCAGTTCCAACACTCAGAGTACCTATGGGATTGACAGCCACATTTTTGTAGTGTGAATTTCCTCAACTTGAAAAGCACTGCTCTCAAAAGCGCCCAGACTGGAGAGACTCCACCACATTTTCATGGCAGTATTTTGGGGAAAACTAACAGAAATACGTGCTTAAGCTGAAAAGTGCCTTTGGTAACCTAACGGATAAAATATTTTCCTTGTCGTGTTCAAAAGACACTCTGCCATACTGACTCTACTAGTTCTACATAGTCTGAATTGTATGTATTACCCCATCTCCTCCAAGAGTAACAAAATATTCTGGACTTCGAGCTCCCTAACTGAGATCACATGTATACAGAGACGCTCATTTAACAAACTATCTAGCAATCGTTAAATGCTGAAAAGCAGCGTCTATAAAGAAATCATTGTCCCCACAGTAAGGTTCTATCTACTCATAAAATAAGCAGCAGAGTGTGAAAGCCAAAGGTTTTCTGCCTTACCATTTGCCACAAAGTGCTTTAACCAGTCCAGTGTATGACACAGTCATAAGGGAATTAATACCTATGTTAAAGAACTCCTTTACAGTTTCATACTGCGCTCCAAACCTCCACCATTCCTTGCATGTTTCCAGCTTCAGATTTAGTTAATAATTTCTACCATCAGTAAAACATCAGCTTCTTCACAAAATAGATGTCCATCTCATTTTCGGAAACGGCAAGCCAACTGAGCACAGGGATGAAACTTAATTGGTGTAGCACACTCTTTTTCCATTGAATAGCTCAATCCACTTGAAAAGCTAATAGCAACAGAATGTGTTTTGCAGTCCATTATTCTTCTCCTCAGTGAGGAAACTGTATCCAAACTCGTATTTCAGTGTACCAGGCCATGAAGTCTTGTTGTGGGAAAACTAAATCCAATAGGCAGGCATACTCGGCTGTGACTCAGAGCTATTATCACTTGCTAAATACTTACAGAAATATTACAGAGTCAAAAAACAGCAACATGCAGGAACACAAAACACAAAATGATTGGCAACGCAGACAAAAGCAAGATAGCAAACCCTGAAAAATAAGTATGCCATACGCAGTGCTTAAAATGAAAAGTACTCATTTACTGAATACACTGAATGCTTCAAAGCTGAAGGAGTTTCAGGTTCCCAAAATTCTACTCTAAATAAAAAAACGTAGGAGTTTCAGATCACTAATACAAAGCTGCAGACAATGCAGCTAGCCAGGTACAGATTTATGAGGCTCATTGACTTCTGTTGCAGAAATCTGCTGCCACTATATGGAATATCGCACTGTCTATTTTTATTCAGCAGAGAATTAGTATGAATCTCAGTTCTTTCTCCCCCATGCCCTGAAAAACCTGGATGGCTTTCTGTTAAACAAAAAAAAAAAGTAAAAAAAAAAAAAAAAAATCAATGTTTGACCCATCTCTGAGTTCCCTTTTGACAATCCACTTCCCTGTGCTGAAATTTAGTATATGTAATAAGCTTGTTAAAACTGCCACTTTCCAAAACAGGGAAGTTGCAAAGGAATTTAGCATTCTTCTTAAATAAGGTACGTTTTGACTGAATGTGGAATGCAACAGACTTAGATACTCATTTCCTGCATACATTTTTCAAGAAGCAAATCGAGGGAATGAAAGCTTTATCTCACACCTTTGCAGAGGTAAACCAGAAAGTTTTGCTTCTTATTAGCAGCTACACTGAATTGCTCCAGCCTGCATATGTTTTTCCACAGAGTCCAACACTAAAACAAGCTGAGAAGTAATTCTGTAGATTTTGCACTCTGAGAATTATCTATCTAGAAACTAATACGTTAGGCTTTCAGATTGTATCTTTCCACAGACCTCCCATAAGTAGAACATCCACCATATAAACAGGCACTAAGTAATTATGAACTCTCATGAAAATTAACCAGCTTTCTAACAGACCGATAAACGACTATGTGAAAGACCAGCTGCTCCTCATACAGACTCTTTCCTCAAGCAGGGTGCAAATGGAGTGTATTTTACTTTGTCTCCAAATTGCAGAATGTCCCAAATAGAAAGCTAATGAGTCAAATCTGTTTATTTAAATGAAGGTGAAAATTCCAGGAAGGTTGATATCTATTCAGCCATCCAACTTTGCTATCTGGAATTGTTACACACTGAACCATTTTGAACTTAGGACGCTGCTGCTTTCTCTTTAATGGTACACTACTATTCAGAAGAGCAAAACAAAGGAAGTTTGGTGAGATTAATTTGCTAGAAGCCTGTAAGTGCTTTTGCTTACGGTTCCATTACCTTCCAGACATTTATTGATTTCCATAAATTATTTATTCCATTATATATTCCACCAAATAGAAGATGCACTCGAGTTCTCCCCTAAAAGCTGCTCATGCTCTTCTCCAGTCTTCAGACACTTCTCTGGTTCTATTTAGTGTCACTTTTACTGCACATTAGTTTGCTAGTTCCCTTGATACACTTTGGTGACAACTGTTTGGACTTGTTGATTTATTTGTAGGCAGAGTTTCCAAGCAGGATTTCATTTGTTCCACTGGAGTTCTCTTTTTACTTACATCCATTACATTCTTATCATGCAGCAGCACACACAGACTTTATTTCTGCTAAATAGAAATAGGATTTGAAGAAAGGCACTTAGTATCTTTGTGATTAATAATTTTATCTTCTTCATCATTTCTTAATGGCCCCTAGTTTCTCTAATGCATTTGTGAAAAAGTTATTTCTATTTTAAAATGCAAACTCAGACCTTTTTGCCATCTCTTGTAACACCTCTTATTTGCTTCTTGCTCTGTGCCATTACAGACTAATATACCTTGATTATCATGGATAAAAACAGCCCATCTCTCCTAAAAAGTAGTAAATTTTAAGTATTTTTGTGCATTTTAGCATTTCCTGCAACTTGCTTTTCATTATACAGTCACCTCCAGCAGGACAAATTCTACAGAACTGCTTTGAATAAGGGTGACACAAAAGCATGCCATGCTAAGGCATTTTGGCAGCCATCTTTCTTGCAAAGTCATTTCAGAATTTAAAACTTTATGAAAGCATATTTTGCAAATCTTTATTATTATTTTGTTTTTATCAGGACCACTTGATGTGCACACTAAGATTGCTGTATCTGATTTTCTAGGGAATAATGCTTCCTCAAAGAAACAGAAAAAGCACACGGGCCAACTTCACCACTTAGCCCCCGCTTATAAAACTTAGACCATCCTGTCATTAGGATATGAAACAAAGATGCTCTGTTTTGAAGGAAATGATTTGCAGAACAATGCTGGTATTTACAAAAATCAGGATTAGAGAATAAACAAATTGTGCAGCTGTTCAGATTGACATGGTTCTACTTAAAAAATCCGAAGACATGAAAAAGACTTCAGGCATTCGCATTTAAAGACAAAGCCTTTCAAATAATTACCTAATGATAGTGTAATTCCTGCTATAGTCAATTAACTATGTTCCACACGCTTGATAAGAGATCTACATTGTTGAATTAAAATAGGAAATCATGTTTGTGTAATGATGCAACTGTAAATTGGAAACATTAAATGTCATTATTTCTTTTGTCCTTAAATGCAGAATGTCTATCATGTAAGTGAGATTCAAGAAAATGAGATGTCTTGGAATTAAATTTAAGGTCTAAATCATGCTGGGATAGATTGATTCTATATCAAGCAGCAGATTTTCATTCTTTTTTACTACTATTTTTTTCCCACAAATTTATCTACCACTTTTTATGCAGAGTTATCTGAAACATCAGCTTCTATTTCCCATAAGCTTCAGCATCTTCCATATAGGCAGAGAAGTTTCAGCATCTTCCATATAGGGAGAGTCTGTATTCCTGGATGAAACGCATCTTACCATAGCTAAATAACGGTATAGTCTTCCTTCCCAAAATAAGAAAAAACATCTCAAATAAGGCAAGCCAGAAGAAGGGTGTGTGCGTGTGTGTAAGAACACACAGGTTTTTATCTCTGCATCACTTGCTGAATTTTCAGACTTCAGCTACTCCATCATCACACATGGTTTAAAGACTGATATATGGAGCTGAGTGTCCAAGAACACAGGTGATAACAGAACAGTAATTGACAAAGCTGACTTGTGAAACAGTACAGAGTATATATACATTGCATGGAAACTGCATCATTTATGGGGTTTGATTAGTTACAGCAGAAGCAAGATTCCCTGATTTTTTTCATTCTCTTCTTTCAGATGAAGTCAGAAACCATAAATTACAGGCACTCCCCCATCATCACCTCTCTCACCACTATGTCATGTAGACAGCGAGCACTGTCTAGACTATACTACAGGCACTGTAGACATCCACACTTTTAATCAATGGTCACTTCTGCTAGCATTTCACAAATACATCCCCTTCCTTTATTTATTTTCTTAATCAAATGTTACTTTTTAATGCAACTGTTTAATCATCCTTTCCCATCCCTCCAATGGAAAACCAATCCAAAAATCTTAGTTCTCATCATCCCCATTCTTGCCCACTTGCATATGTGATCTTAACCTACCTAAAAGTATGTTGCTCTCTACACCAATGTTACCCATCTTGGATGCTAACAAAATTCTTTTCATTAGGATATAATTTTTCTGTGTTATGGTTATCCAGTCCTAACAAGGCATAGGAATATTCTCTACTATATCTATGGACTGGTAAGTGGAAGCAGCAAAAGACAGAGCTCTCCTAGAGCAATGAGTTCACTCTTATTAGCCCATTTCCTCACCACTGAACCTATTTTAACTCCAACATACAGACTCCAACATACAGATCCTGCAGCGCTAGCCTGGGGCACATTCTAGCTTTTCTTTCACTGATTTTTCCATATTTCTTCATGATTAAAATTAAATATATATTTTTATATATACATGAAAGAAGATATATATAGAGACAATAATAGATCTATATCTCTTCTATCTTTATAGATATAAGAAGGA